CCGCACCACCACCTCCCCCCCCTCCCCATTTACACACAGTGCCGCTGCTCGCACACTGTCCGGCCACTTGGAAATTTCCCTCAACGCGGAGGATATTTTGCTGCCGAGGAGCGGGACTGTCGGCTAATGTGCATCTTCTCCGGGCTGACTCGCCTGAAATGCCCCAGTAGAGGAGCTGAAGGTAGGTCTGCTGCCTTCTAATCGGCTTTATATCCCGCTGCCCATCTCCCCCGCAGCAGACGTAGCGATCTGTCTGACCTTCTCTCCGACCAAAGCGTTAGAATAAAACCCCACGCCGTGTGTGTGTGAGAGGTAGAGAGAGGTAGAGAGAGGTAGAGAGAGCCCAGCGTGAGTCTGGATGGGAAGCCTCAGTGTGTGACTGCGTTGCTCTGCTTTTGGATGGATCGCTGCTATAAGTTGCGTTTGAGAGGCTGCGATGCTCATTTGAATGAACCAAACTTGTGGAGCCTTTAATTGTCGACTACTCCAGCGGCATCGGCTTGGTTTTTTTGGGGGTCGACTTTACAAGACCACAGGGCTGCTGCAGGGTGAGGATTTATTTATTTATTTATTTATTAAGGGGGGTGGGGGGTGGACAACGGAGGGTTTGGTTTGCTTTTGAGGTGGGTGTGCAGAGTCAAAGAGGCACGCAGAGTTCACGGAGATTGCATGGCACCGGCCAGGGTCTCCGCCATGTTAAGTTGCCATCTCAGTCAAGCTACCACTAATGCCACAGGCAATTGTTTCCAACTTCCCCCCCTTCCCTCCTAATAATAGCCTACATGTCAAGAAAAGCCACGTCTGTAACGCACACATTAAAGGGCGGCCACCTGTGCAAAGCGCGTGGCTGCTGTGTTTAAAAAAAAAAAAAAAAACCCACGCATTATATATCCTCACCATACGGTTCAACAGTATATATAGCTTGCAGGGAAGCCTGTGTTTGCAGCCTGTGGGCGTTTATTTTCAGCATGTGGTTGCCAATCTGTGCCTAACTCTGCACCGGTGCTCATCACGGTCAAGGTGCTCATGAGAGAGAGAGAGAGAGAGGGAGAGGTTTTAATGCGACATGTACAATAATGTATGGCTTTCTCTGCAGCAACTAACCCTTGAAGGCTGTTTGAATTGTGAGGATGGCTGCCTGGACCGTCTCCGCTGCCACACCCCTCACAGAGAGGCTCTGCCATTAATGCCAACCACATGCTTATATCTGTTATCACTGCAGGGAATTCCATCATATTTGGTGAGGTGTTTTGAGTTGAATGGTCACTTGTTTGCGGGTCAGGTTTTAGGCTCGAGGATCGATACACTGGGATAGTGTTTGCAGTGAGAGTGGATCAGTGCATTTGAGTGAGCCGGTGTGGCCTTGCGAGCTGCTTAGGAGGCATATGTGACAGGTCGTGTGAGATGCCCTGCTATGTTTGATGGGCAAGTGAGTTTCTCTGGCAGATTAATGGACAGAAGTAAATCGTCCCCCGAAGTCCACCTCTCACAAACACACACACACACACCACACACCACAACACACACACACAACACCATGTGTGTGATGCCTCAGGAACGAGCTTTCGCCTCTGACCGGTTTGTTACACATCCTCTAGGTATGTCTAACATCAGTCTGTGCGTTGAGATCTGTTTGGCATTTAGGACAGCAATTCTTGTGGGAATTGTTGACGGTTATTAATATATTTTCCTTCTAAGATCTATAGTTAATAAATGTGTGAAGAAAATTGCAGCAGCAAGAGAATGTCATCCTATTTCCTCCAGTTGCCCCGTGTTAAAATCTGTCCTTTCAAAATGGCAGTTCTCGTCTAATGAGCCATGCCCATGCCCCTGTTCTTCTGCACTGATCAGTTATGCTTCTTTTTCATCTCTTTGAAAATGTCATTTTCTCAAGCCTCATAGTTAACTGTTGCCATCAGCTGCTGGTGCTGCTGCTGCTTAGTATGCAGCTCTGCCACCAGCCACGGCACCAATCATTTATTAAACTGACCAAACTCTATCTGGCTTTCCTGACATGAAAGCAGCAATCAAAAGCGTTTTCATTATATTAGCAACTGCACTGACCTTTTTGGAGAGTGTTTATGCATCCATTATGCTATTAGTAGTTTGAAACCAATCTTCTCGAAAAGCAGAGTGATCAACAAATATGCTCTGTACTCTGTAGCTGTTCAGTTATTTAGTGCTGAAATCAGTGGCAGGATCAGAGAAACGGTGTGAATCTTTAGGAAATGATGTCCAATTCTGCACATAATGAAAGCTGAACGCACATTCACTATACTTTGCATTAATGGGAGGAATTAAAATCAATCTTTGAATCACTGTTTTAGCATAACCTATAGTTCATAGCCACTGAAATATCTAACATAAAGATACTAAAGAAGACCCTTTATTGTCTAATTGCTATAGTCTGTATCCTCTGTGGACTAACATTCGATGGCCATGTGCTTCTGGCTTGTAAAGACCTTTAAGGCCAATCCCATCCGGTAGTGGAGGGGTTACTCATCAGCAGCACATGGCTAATTTATTGACCGTCCCTTTTGTTCCGTATAGAAACATGCCTTTGCTGTCACCAGTGGACCACAGAGGGGAAGTAAGCAACCCATAATGACACTTTAATCATAAGAGGCACCATGTAAACGGGAGGGGAGCCAACAGTTTGTTTCTCATGCCCAGCCAGGTAGCTCTTTCAGGCTTGGAGGAAGTGTCATACCATCATAGTAAATCAGAGTTTTACTTGGTACAGTCAGCAGGTAAAATGCATGTTAATCACACATTCCCTGGAAGGGCTGGTGTAGTAACGGAAAGGAAACATGATGCTTTTTATGCAAAAGCTGCTGCGATGACAAGAAGGGAGGGGACAGAATTTGAGCGGTACGGAGAAAGCCTGGTTAAGTTACATTAGCTAAAAACTTTGACAGATTATTCCTAAAACGTCTCTCTCATGACACTTGTTCCAGGGTTGTTCTGAAATAAACACAATCTGCTGTTTCTACCGCAATAACCAAGGAATCAGTATTCTGCTTGTTTCCCAGTGCAGCTCCCAGTTGGTCACCTGGAACTCATTCCATGTTTTTTATGGCTCTCGGAGTCTTAAACAAATGTTTGGAAGTGGTTGCCAGGTTGGTAACTAGGCATAAACCTTTGGTTTCCAAAATTAGCAAATGTAATTGCCTTCATTTGTTTGACTGATAATGGTTTTATGTGATTAAACAATTAAACACAATCATTACAACCTTTAGACTGCATGTTTTTAAGGTTTTGTATAATAAATAGCAGGGTCTAAAAGGCTAAATGATGACCTCATGGAAACATGATCACAGCTGTAGTTTGTGTCAGTTATGCCAGTTATGCCTTGATCTGGAGTTGAAGATGAGTTTAAGGTTTTAATTGTGAGAATGTAGTGGTTTAACCAGGATAGACTGGCATAATTCCTATTTAGAAGCATGGCTGCCCCCTTTTGTGACTCCAGACCGTGTGTATTAATAATGTGCTTTGAATGAGCAAACCTGCCTTCTCAATGATAGTCATAATAATCAATTTATTGGCATTCTGTCAGTGCCTTTCTATGTAATAGTTCTCATTGTTAGTGGCGGAGTCTGCCATTCTTGCCCTTGATTTAAATTGCCTGCATGCAATGTGAGTTTGTTTGGTTGCACTGTAAACAGATAAGCCAGTTGCTCTTCTGTTGTATCTCTGACAAAGTAGCTACATGTGTTTTCTGTGGCATTAAACCACACTTGTTGTGATTACGGTAACCACGGTTGTTGCTTCTTCAACTAGGACACAAATCTGAAGGATTACAACAAGTTGCCTTCTACACTTGAGCGGCAGAATTTTTAACTTACGGCAGCTCACAAAGTTAAGTGTCTTACAAATTGCAGCTAACACACATTTTGGGAATACTGTGTTCTGTGGAATTCTGCTGTGTGTGTGCGTGTGTGTGGGGAAGGTGGGGGGTTTGAATGGATGTGGATGCAGAGGAATGTCTGGCCTAGTTCAAGTTAACAATATCACAGAATTTAACACTTCGTTGTGACCAAGCCAAGGCATGCGTAACCTTAAACATCAGAGTCAAATCACAAGATTCCAATTAGGGCTTCCTGTGACAAAGAGGGCCCCTTGCCTGGCTCTACAAACGTATAGTACTTAACTTGACTGTAACAGACAGAAACCCACTGAATCACTTTCTGTGCTCCTTTATCCCAACCACATGATATGTTATGATTAACAACATGCTATAGGTTGACAAAAGTCACAATTTTGAGCCAAGCCATTTTTTGTAAAGGTTCAATGAAAAAAAAATCTTACAAAATGCAGCAGAAATATTAAGTACAGGTTTGTAAAGATTGTGAGGAGGGATTCATTAGTGAAGCATTCAGCCAAACTTTCTTACTGTAATGTTGGTCATTGTTGGATGGATACAGCAGAGGCAGCCTTCTTGGCACATCCCATCTACTTTCTGTTTTTTCCCACCTCCCACTGGGTTCTGGTTTGCCTGCCTCCCACTCAGTCCACCATTCAATGTGCATTGCATCACAAATATAAGCCAGTACAGTGGTTTCCTGCCAGTGTGACACACACACTTTCTGCACAAGTGGTCTTTGCTAATTGATTGGTTTTAAATACTCTGTAGGATTCAAGGATAGGAAATGTTGCTGTGTTTTTTCCCCCTCTCTGTAATTAAACATTGAGTATGTTTCAGGAGAAGCAGTCTGTCTGAGCAACCGGTGCCCTGCGGCAGTCTGCTATGTGGTCCTGTGTGTGCTGTGATGTAAGTCAGAGGACCCCCAGTCTGGTTTAAAAATAAAAAAATTTGACAGTCTGGAGCAGAAGTCTCCAATTTGGTTGTCATAGTGACGGGAGATAAGAACTCGTGCTGCCTACTACTTAGTAGACATTTTGAATAGAGTTGTTCATTTGAAGTGTTAGGCCAGCAGAAGAGCACATTCATGACAATGTTCTTGACCACAGTTGTCTGTATATTGTAATAGACTGAGACTGGTGGACGGTGTTTTTATATTCATTGTTCTCTGTATGAGATTGTCAAGCTCCAGAAGAAAACCCCAGGTTAAGTATCTTGAAAGAGCCTTGTAGTGAAATGAGTTAAAGTTTGGAGCTTTAACAGGAGGACTATGAATGAATAGCAGCTATTTCTGACTTTAAGTGTCTTCTTTATTAGCT